TATATATATATATATATATATATATACATATATATATATATATGTGTGTGTGTGTGTTTGTGCGCGTGTGTGGGCCCAGTGCGCGTGCCTCTCCGTGGGAGGCCTCTCCCGTCGGCGCGCTCCCTTCCGCAAGGAAGGCGCAGTGGGAGGGGGCCTTCGGTAGCAGATCGTAGGAGCCTTGTATACCTTCATGATTCCGTCTTTCGGTGCGCTTGCGTGCGCTATCGTTTGGCAACCGATTGCGAATCGACGAGTTAGCGTCAACTAGCGTCGGTTTAGCGCCGACTTGCGTCGACTAGCGACGTTTAGTGATGTCCAGCGTCGGCTCGCGAGAGCGCAAGATGGCATGGGAGACTCCCATGAGTTGCCACAGAAGGTGCCAACGGGGAAGCAGGAAGACACGCAGGGTGTGCGGAAGAGGCTGGTGGAGGCACAAGGTTCTAGGCCTCCTAGATGGGGTCGGAGGATCGCGCCGCATCGGCGATGCATTGGCGATGCTGCTCGATGTGTAACCCGATCTTCTCCACGAGGATGTCGCCGCTGCATCGCCGACGTCGCCGATGCATCGCCGATGCGGAGAGATCCTTTAGCCCCATCTAGTCTGACACCATTTGGGAGGGCTCCAGAGGTGGGAATGAAAACGGTCAGAGCAGATTGGGCGTCGGCCCGCCCAAGTTATGGGCATCCAAGGCCTGCACTCATCGAAGTTTGAAGTTTCCAAGGCACTGAGATCTGACTGAGGTCTGAGGTCTGGGAGTTCCCAATACAAGCGTCAGCGAACATCCTGCAGTCGCAGATTTAGGTGCGCCAGTCACTCGGACGCGTTCCCTCCTTGTCGTCAGCCCAGCGCACCTTCGGCAATTATCCAACAGGCCAGCCAAGCGTCTGCAAGCAGTTTGCCTGAAGGTTGGCTCAGATTTCCTAGAACATCCCGTTCAGAGTCATGGGTTTGGCTCCAGGACGCGCACATCAAGCCAGAAACGACGTGGTTGCAGGATCGCGCAGCATCGTCGATGCGGCGCGTTTGCTGGCCTTCGGTTCGAGCTGACGAGCCTCTTCCAGAGCGCGAGGCCCATTCCTCTTATGCCGGTTTTCATGGGGTGTGCGCGCTCAGCCGCTCGGATTCCAGCCTCTAGGTGGGAGATGGTGGTCCTAAGAGGGCCCTGGGGACGAGATGTATACGGGGCCCACATATGCACCACCACCGCGGGCGTGTGACTACCGTAGAAGTTGATTCGGTTGCTGTTTTGACGTTATGTCGCAAAGCGTTTTGCATCCCTCACTGAGAGCCCGCCTTTTTTCCTAGTATCCTGTAGGCGTGCGCTTGTATGCACAAGAAGCAACACCTCTACACGGTCTCCACTTAGGAACAAAGAGCCGGGCTTGTCTGGCGGTCGAGCGTCTTTTTTTGTCGCCGTCGACGCCTCGTCGCCGCCCGTCGCTTGGGCCTGTCTGGCGATCTGGCGGCTATGTTGTCGCCGTCGCCGCAACGTCGCCGCCCGTCGTTTGGGCTTGTCTGGCGCCTTGGCGTCTGGCGGCTATGTTGTCGCCGTCGCCGCCCCGTCGCCGCCTTGCATAGATGCTCCATTGTTTCAAACAAAGACGGACTTTCCCCCCCAGCTTTATCGGCCCCCCTGTCGTATTGCAATTTGCACATTGTTCTGCCCCATCGCCCATCCTTAATATGAATTCATACCATCCCAACCCAACCGGTATCGACCCCCCCCCGCCATCCTCCCCCAAAAATGCAATGCGCGCGCACTCGTTTATCACAAGTCATAAGGTTTCAAGACTTCCTTGGCAATCGATGACACCAAGTGCACACGCGCGCGTCGTTGCGCGCGCATGCCGGCATCAATGAAAAACCGTATTGCGAAGGCCTTACGGCCGTTGCCGCCGACCCTGAAGATGACGAAAGACAACACGAGGGGGGGGGCAGGAGGAGGAGGAGGAGGCGGAAGGGAGTAGGAGGAGGAAGGGTGAAGGGGGAGGAGGAGGAGGCCTTATGGATGTTGGTTGGGATCTCGTGGTTGACCTCTCGGGGGCGTCTGGAAGGCAACTTGAAGCCTCTTGGGGGCCGTTGTGGGGCCTCTTGGGGCCTCTTTTGGGCCTCTTGGGGCTTCCGGAGGCCGTCTTCGGCGCATCTTGGGGGCGTCTTGGCGCCGCTCGGGGGCCTCTTGGGGCCTTTTGGGGGCCTCTTGGGGCTTCCCGGGGGCCTCTTAGGGCGGAAGTCTCGAATTCTCGGTTCCTCGTCCCCCTCTTGGCCGTTTCTTGGGCCCGTCTTGGGGCCCTATTGGGCCGTCTTGGGCGCCTCTTAGGCTGTCCTGGGGCCTTCTTGGGCCGTCTTGGGGCCCTCTTGTAGGCCTCTTGGGGCGCTCTTGGGGGCCTCTTGGGGGCCTCTTGGGCCGTCTTGGAGTGTCGGAAAGCCGAAAAGGCGAGAAGGCCAAAATCATTCAAAAACCTATGTAAAATTGACGATTTTGGCGCCTGGGGCCCTCTT